AAAAATATGTATACAGTATTCTGTCTGCATGTCTGCTGCAGGCCAGAAGAGGGCACCATATCTCATTACAGATGGCTGTGAGCCACCAATTGAACTCAGGATCTTTGGAAGAGCAGTCAAGTGCTCTTAACTTCTGAGCCAGATCTCCAAGCCCGGGGAATATACTCTTACACAGACACACACACCTTGCTAAAAATTGCTCATTCCTGTAATCTTGCCCATTTCCATAAATTAGAGACACGGGTTCAGAAGACATTGAATTGAGGTTGGGGCCTCCTGCCTTTAGTGAGACCATGCAGCCTGTGGCTGACAAAGCAGCGAGATCATGTATTGTCTCAGCCTAGGGTGAAAGGGGAGCGGATGGAGGCACAAGCAGTTCCTCTAAGAATCTGTCACTCTAGGCATGAACTGGAAGTTAGAAAAGTTCCTATCATCCTGTTCTGGGAAACTCTAAATCAAATTAAAGATGTTCCCAAGGTCAGTTCCCAGCACCCTGCAGGGCTCATAATCACATCTAACTCAGCTCCAGGGAAACCCAATGCCTCTGACTTTGAAGCTCATCTATACTCATTTGCACTTATACACACAATTAAAAATAATAAAAGTAAGTAAAAAATAAATGAGAGGGGATCTGGAAGTGACCAAAGAACAGAGTATCAGAATTGGCCCAGGATGGCGGCGATGGCTGTGGAGATGGTCTGGTGTCAGGGCATTGCTCGCTCTCCCTAGTCCTGCGTTCTGTTCCTGGTCCACACATACACAGGTGTGGGCCTTTTTTTATTTTATTCTTTATTTTCTAGGTGCTGGGCATCAAACCCTGGGTTCTGTGTATACTTTGCAAGCCTGGTACTGTTCTTGACAGGAATAGGCAGGTGGAACTCTGAATTCAAGGCCAGCCTGTTCTACCTAGTGACTTCCAAGATAGCCTGGACTTCAGAGAGAAGCCGTGTCTTACCAAATAAAAATAAGGGAGTTGAAGAGATGGCTCAGTGGTTAAGAGCACTGCTGCTCTTCGGAGGACCTGGTTCAGTTCCCGGCACCCACCCGGCAGCCCACAGTTCTGGGGAATCTGACATCTTCACACAGATAAGCCTGCAGGCAAACGAGTGCACATGAAACAACAATAAGTAATTAAAAAATAAAAATAAAGTAAGCGAGAAACAGATTAGACAGTGAAATGAAGAAACGGTGGGTTGGGAGTGAGATCTTAAAGAATTACCAAGTGACATGAACTTGGACAATATGAAAGGGGGGTAGGTAGGTGATCGTTAATTTCCACCGTCAGCAAGATTGGGCTAAGAGGCAACCAAGACCATTAAGGAGGCACACATTTGGATGTGTCTGAGGGTATTTCCAGGGAGGTTGGACTCGGGTGGCCCACCCTGGATCAGGACTAAATTAAAAAGAGAAAAGGAGAAAGCTAGCTGTGGACTGGCTCAGCACCTCACCTGTTGTGATGGACCAGGAGCCCAAATAATCCATCCCTTTCTCCCTTAGGTTGTTTGTTAGGGATTTGGTCGCAGTGATGAGAAAGTAGCTAACGTGGGTATTTCAGCCCGTGGCTGCTGTTGTAGCAGCACCACACATGGACAGTCTGTAAGTAGGTGAGGAGCGTGGCTCTAACATTTATGGGAGCCTTAGCGATCTTTCATGCCCTAGAAGGAGTCACATGGCGGGAGAGTGGGGAGGCTGTTTATAACTTACCCCATGATCACCAACCCACTCTGCTTATTAATCCACCCATGAAGTAAGGGCCCTCATGACCCATCCCCCTTTCCTTTCTTGTTTCTTTTCTTCTCTCTCTCTCTCTCTCTCTCTCTCTCTCTCTCTCTCTCTCTCTCTCTCTCTCTCTGTTTCTTTCTAATTTTCCAGACAGTTTCTCTGTGTAGCTTTGAGCCTTAGACCAGGCTGGCCTCGAACTCTGAGAGATCCACCTGCCTCTGCCTCCCAAGTACTGGGATGAAGGCGTGCGCCACCACCGCCCCCTGCCCCATTCATCTTTTTGCATCGAGGATTAAGTTTCCAATACAAGTCTAGAGGTGGTGGCACACAGCTCATCCAGGGAGGTTAGGATAGGATCACAGGTCTGAGGCCAGCCAGAGATAAGATTGTATCCTGGAAAAAAAGAAAAGCCCAAGCAAAACGTTTGTAGCATTTGAATCCCCAAACAGTAAGAAATCTCATTGTGGTGTGTAACCTGTCTCCTGTAGGTTCATGTGTTGGGATACTGTTTCCTACTCCTTAGTGCTGCTGAAGTGGGTCACTGAAGGCAGCCTTAAGGTTTGGTAGCTCAACCCTACTTCTAAACCTTGTCACTACATCTTGGACCATCCCAGTGAGCAAGCATCCTCACACCTCTGCCCATGCTGCAAGCATCCTTACGCCTCTGTCCTTGCTGTAAGCATCCTCACACTCCTGCCTCTGATGCAAGCATCCCTGCAGACTTCCTCCCCTCAAGCGATAAGCCAGAATAAATCCTGAAGTAGCTAATATACCTAGTCTCAAGATCCCATTATAGCAGCAAAAAAGCAATCTTGGCTGTATAAAACACAAGTAATGTTCTAGAGATAGATATAGGCAGCAAAAATATTAAATACTGAATATAAAACATTAAAATTTTATTCCCATGAGGATCAAATATTAATGAAAACGGAAAGGTATTGGAGTTAAACCACTTCCAGGGAGAGATGGCAGGAAGGCTGATTGCCTCAGGCTTACAGCCCAAGCGCTACACTTCAGACTAGGTACTTTACTAGAAGTGAACTTTCCCTTCCAGGTCAAAGTGGCAACGTAGGACATTTTAAGCGCAGTACAGTAGTAGAGCTTGTTAGCTTGTGTGAAGTGCTGTTTGATCTCCAGAACTGGAAGGAAAAAAAAAGAAAAAGAATTAAAAAAAATTTAAATCGTGAATGTTAGAACACATGTCTGGTTTTAAGAAAGCATTAGATTGAATTGTAGAAAATAGAAGTGGGCAGGAAAAGAACCTGGGAAAGCACAGGAAACGTCCTAGGCATGTTAGCACCAGACAGGCATCCTTCTTTGTGACAACGTGACAAGCTGGGGTGGGGGTGGGGTTACTATGCAGTTATCAGCAGGGTATTCCCAAGAACATAGACTTTCCAAAAGTTAGAAAATGAAATTTACGCCCTGGCAATGCTGAAGTATACAAGGTATACAGCGGTTCTGTTGAACCTGTCCATGTTGGGGGTCTCTTTCTCAAGAGGGCATCAGCTCACATTCCAGGTGGTTGCTGGGAATTGAACTCAGGACCTTTGGAAGAGCAGGCAGTGTTCTTTTTTTTTTTTTTTTTTTTTTTTTTTTTTTTTTTTTTTTTTTTTTTTTTTTTTTTTTTTTTGGTTTTTCGAGACAGGGTTTCTCTGTGGTTTTGGAGCCTGTCCTGGAACTAGCTCTTGTAGACCAGGCTGGTCTCGAACTCACAGAGATCCGCCTGCCTCTGCCTCCCAAGTGCTGGGATTAAAGGCATGCGCCACCACCGCCCAGCCGCAGGCAGTGTTCTTAACTGCTGAGCCAGCTCTCCAGCCTTTCCACACAGGGAAATGGGAATGGTTCCCTGGAAAGGTTTGTAGTCGGGCAGGTGCCATCTGTGTCACGGGAGCGTGGATGAGGCTTTGACCAGGGAAGCTGCTCACAAACCGGCGCAGCTATTCTGGAGAAGGATGACGCAGCGTGTCTGAGAGGAAATGCCCACAGAGATGTTGGGCAGCTTTGTGGTGCTTACGTCACTGCTGCCCATAGCCTGAGGGTCCAGCGGAGGACAGTGGAGTTAAGGTGAGGTCACACTGGCGGGCCTACGGCTCTGAAGCACGGGGTTTTCAGGGAGTAGCTGCAGAGCCACTGTGTGTCAGTTCTGCCCCTCGGGGTTCTTGTGATCTGTAGAGTGCTCAGGGTGTGGCGTGAGCTAGCTAAGTGCCAAGTGGGTGCTTGCTTGGCACACACCTGTTGAAATAAGGAGCGGCGGGGCTGCGTCCCCAGCACCCCAGCCGCCTGCTAGCTCATGCCTGAAATAACAACACACAAACTGTATTCATTTAACGACTGCTTGGCCCATTTCTATCTAGCCTCTTCTAGGCTAATTCTCACATATTAATTTAGCCCATTTCTAATAATGTGTGTAAGCACCCCAAGGTAAGCACTGGGAAGATTCTAGCCTACGTCCATCCTGGGTTGGAGCTGCCTGGGAGAGCAGAGCCTGGTGTCTCTGCTCCAGAGAGCAGAGCTGTCGGGTCTCTCCGGGAGCAGAGCAGAGCCTGAGCTCACTTCCTCTTCCTCCCAGCATCCTATTCTGTTTATTCCTCCCACCTATGTTTTAACCTATCCAGGCCAAGGAGTTTCTTTATTGCTTAACCAATGAAATCAACAGATTGATATATGACACTCCCACATCACACACCTACAGGTGGAACTCACAGAGATCTGCCTAATTTTTTTTAAAAAGATTTATTTTTATTTTTTGAGTATTTTTATTTTGCATGCATGTGTACCATATATGTGCAGTGCCCATGGAGGCCTGAAGAGGGCATTGGAATCCCCTGGAACTGGAGTTGCAGGTGGATGCTGGCCTCTGTAAGAATAAGGGCTCTTAACCACTGAGCTGTGTCCTCAGCTCCTGGGTGGCGGATTCTAAGGTAAACTGTAGGTACTTGTTGGGCTTTCCTCCCACAGTGTCTGCCCCACGGTGTTCATGCACATGCGCTGTGCATGTGTTTCTCATGCTCCAGCCTCGCCCACCCTTTTCCTCCAGGTTCCCCATCCCTAGCTGCCTTGGCTGTGGTCCTGGGGACTGGTGGGATGGGTGAGCAGGCAAGGCCAGTTGAAGAGACTCCTGACCTGACTGCAGGGGGTGTGGGCGGGAGGCCTTCATCTATTAAAAGGCTAGGTGGCCTTGCGGTTGGAATTCTGCCATTGGCTATAAATAGCCAGTGTGTGTGTGTGGGGGAGAGAGCCTGGGAGGAGAGAGGACGTGGGAGGCCCCTGGGTCTCCAGCTGGCAGCAGCCTGGGTGTGGTGTGGGAGTGGTGTGGAATGTCACATGGGTTGCAAAGCTTGCAGGCTGGCTTGGTGTGAGGTCTGGACTGGAAGGATCGCTACAACCCTAGCAGGCAGGGGCTGTCAGTCACTGCTCCACAGAGTAGCTAGGAGAGCAGGCAAAGCTGCAGAGCGGGGATTTGGAGTCTGAGGGGTCTGGTCAGTTGCTCAGGTGACATCCCAGGAAGTGCCAGAGGGACTCCTGCCTGACAGTGGCCTGGAGAGAGGAGCTGGAGCAGCCTCAGGCCCCTCTGTGTGTATTGTTCCCCTGTGACTCCCGACCCTGAAGAAGGGGCTAATTGCTGTCACAGTGGAGGTGGATGCCCTCCGGAGTTGGAGGTTGAGCCTAGGCTTCATGGAGCCACACATCCACGATGCCCATGGTCTGTCCTCAGCGTCTGCAGGGGCAGTGCTTCACACTGAGGCCACCCAGCCTTGTTAGCCCTTCTTTTCAAAGTCCTTAACCAGCGTACCCACAGAACTCTGCCCATGTGCGCCTACCCATGTGTTCGGGGTCAGCTTTCCAGTCTTGTGGGGGAAGCTGGGCATCTAGGAAGCAATGGCTGAGGACACATACAAACGAACAATCTTCTACTTCTCAGCTCAGCATGGTGGCGCACGTCTTTAATCCCAGCAGAAGCAGAGGCAGGCCGATCTCTGAGTTTGAGGCCAGCCTGGTCTACAGAGTGAGTTCCAGGGCAGTCAGCGCTACACAGAGAAACCGAGTCTCAGAAGACCACACACACACACAAATAATTAATAACAATAGTTTCTGCTTCTCGTCCAGGTGTTTGTGGCGCCAACACTTCACTTCCTCCTGGGCATTGTTTGGACTGTTTTACTCACACGCTTTTTGGATATGTCAGGAACTCCCTGCTAACGTGGCTGCTCGTCCAGGTTGGAGAGAAGTAGCTCTCTCTGGACTGGGTACTTCACTGAGCTCCATTGCCAGTTACTGCCACAAGTTGCTTGGGGCATGTGGGCAATAAACATGCCACCCAGGCTCTGGGCACTTGTTCAGGCTTTGTTTTAAAGCCTGCACTCTCCCCCTCAGAATTTGCCCACAGATGTAAGCCTTGTGCTTGAACAGAGTCCTGACTGGGCACGCTAGCATGTGTCTCTGTGAGTGAGGTCCTGGTTGGGAGAAGCCAGTGCCTACCTCTATTTGAGCCCTGTTCTGGATCCTGAGACCTTTTATCTGGGCTAGGCTGGGTACTGCCATTCTGGTTTGGTACCATTTGAACTTGTGGGTCCTGCCCGACACTTTGAGATTGGCTGTTTGCTCGAGTCTGGGACATCCTGGAAGGAGCCTCCTACCATGGCTGGGAGATGTGATGGTGGCTGCGACCTGGCCTGCCGTAGTGAAGACTCCTCTGTGAATAACCAGTCAGGACCCCCCTCTCTGCACTGGGCCCTGGAATTCAGTCAGGAGCTTAGCACGCTGCCGCCCTCAGGTCTGCTGGCAGTTAGAGGAAGCTGGGGTGTGGACAGGCCAGTTAATACACTTTCCTGTAGGGTTTCCTCACAGGGTCCTGGAAGTGAGGTAGTAAATGCCACCCCCTTGTCATGAGGGACCAAGACAGGGCCGGCCTCCTTTGGCTCTTTTTCATCCTGCACCCAAAGTCTAATGGGGTCGTTGTGGGCAGAGCAGTTGGCGCTGTGGCTGGTTGGTAGGGTTGATGACAGATGGGTTGGGTGAATAGGCTATGTGGAGAGTGTTCAGCTATCTGGATGGAACTCCTGTTGGGGAAAGAATGTGTAAGAGTGGGTGGGTGTGGCAAACCCAGCTGCAAAGTTGATCTGTGATTGCAGCTTAGCCCTCCTGTCTGAGAAAAATGTCCCCTAGTGACCCCGGGAGCTTTCCTCTTTTCGGATAAGCTTAGATGTTCTGCAGTACCAGGCAAGAACGAGTGCGGGGAGTTCCGTGGTTATGGGCTGGTGTGGGCAGGGGATGGAGGAAGAAAACCCTAGCCTGGTCTTCCAGGTGCTGGGTGTGGCTGGTGAGGTCCAGTGTCAGGGCAGAGGGGTGGGTTGCTGTCTTCTCCAGGTGTCACTGGCCTGTGCTCAGCTTCTCTCCTCTTGGGGGCGCAGGTTCCGGGCGTGGGGAGGCTGAGACTCGGGAGTGCATCTACTACAACGCCAACTGGGAGCTAGAGCGCACCAACCAGAGCGGCCTGGAGCGCTGCGTGGGCGAGCAGGACAAGCGGCTGCACTGCTACGCCTCCTGGCGCAACAGCTCGGGCACTATCGAGCTCGTGAAGAAGGGCTGCTGGCTGGATGACTTCAACTGCTACGACAGGTGGGGGGGGGCGCTCCTGCTGCTGAAGTCACCCCCGATCTCAGGGTGCCTGGCTGGTGGTGCTTGCTCTCCTGAACTCAGGCAGCATTTCAGTGTCTGTCTATGCCTGGCTGTCCCTCTTAGACTTGGGTCGCTCTACAAGGGAAGAGGGTGAACCCTGCTTGCTGGTGTTCCCGGGAGCTGCTCTGTCTGTGGGGAGGGGCCCGGGAGAGTCCTGCCTTCCCTGTCCCAGAGTTTGTAATGTGGACTCTGGGCCTTCAGGCAGGAGTGTGTGGCCACTGAGGAGAACCCCCAGGTGTACTTCTGCTGCTGTGAAGGCAACTTCTGCAACGAGCGCTTCACCCACTTGCCGGAGCCTGGAGGCCCAGAAGGTGAGGAGCCCGTGGGAAGAGGGGTCTAAGTGGGGCACCCTGGAGCCAGTGGGGAGTGGCTGCAGGACCTACTGGAGTGTTGGAATAGGCGGACTGTGTGACACAGGGCTCTGTGTGTCCCCCAGTCACGTACGAGCCACCCCCGACAGCCCCCACCCTGCTCACGGTACTGGCTTACTCGCTGCTGCCCATTGGGGGCCTCTCCCTCATTGTCCTGCTGGCCTTCTGGATGTATCGGCATCGCAAGCCTCCCTACGGCCACGTGGATGTCCATGAGGTGAGCCGGTGTCAGCGTGGGGGCAAGGCAGGGAGGAGGGACTGCTGGACAGACTCCTTTTAGTCCTTGCTTTCCCAGGACCCCGGACCTCCACCCCCATCCCCTCTGGTGGGCCTGAAGCCACTGCAGCTGCTAGAGATCAAGGCTAGGGGTCGCTTTGGCTGCGTTTGGAAGGCTCAGCTCATGAATGACTTCGTGGCTGTAAAGATCTTCCCACTCCAGGTGAGTGTCCAGGCCATCTTCTCTCTGTGGTCCAAGTTGGAGTCCGGGTCAGGCTCTGCCAAACTTTGACCCATGCTGGTTTTGGGTTTCGCTTTTACTTCCATGTTATATATGTGGTTTATATGTTTATGTTTGCACAGGTCTGTGTGTGGAGGCTGGAGTTTGACACTGAGTCTTTCCTTTATTGCACCCGACCTTTTTTTTCGAGACAGTGTTTCAGTATGTAGTCCTGGTGGCCTGGAACCCACAGAGATCTACCTGCCTCCACTCCCACTTTCAGTGCTGGAGTTAAAAATGTGTACCACCATGCCTGGCTCTCTGCCCTTTACAAAATTTTTATTTATTTTTAATAAGTATTTATTTTTATGTGTATGGGTGTTTTGTCTGCATGCGTCTTTGCTTACCACATGCATACCTGTTGCCTGTGGAGGCCAGAAGAGGGTGTTGGATCCGTGAGACTGGAGTTACAGACAGTGGTGAGCCTCCCTGTATGTGTTGGACTGGGAGTTGAACCTGGGTGTTCAGGAAGAGCAGCCAGTGCTTTTAACCTCAGAGCCATCTCTCCAGCCTCTTACTTTTTAATTTTTTTCAAGACAAAGTCTCTCACTGAGCCTGGGACTCACTGATTGGATAGGCCAGTTGGCAAGCAAGTCCCAGGGATCCTCCATCTCTGCTCCTCCTGCTTCCAGCACTGGGGTTGCTCTTGTACACCAGGCTGACCTCGAACTCACAGTGATCTGCCTGCCTCTGCCTCCCGAGTGCTGGGATTAAAGGCGTGTAGCTGTTGGGGATCCGAACTTGGATCTTTGTGTTTGTCAGACAAGACTTTACCTCCTGAGTTATCTCCCTGGGTCCTGAGTTTGGTTTTTGACTTTATGATCTCCTCAGAGGCTTCAGACACCAGGCAACCCAAGTAGCTATTGCCCAGTTTGCTTAGCAAATCAAGTGCTTGCTGACTGACCCTGGGTACCTCCTCAGCATTTGTGGTCCCAGTTGTAGATCGGGGTGCTGGTGTCAGCCTCCTCAGGGGTTGCCGTTGGCCTGGTTCTCCAGATGTGTCTTGCAGCTGCTGAGGTGGGGAAGCTAGGGACTGGGCATGGAGACGGGTGTGTTGGGTGGCTGTCCTGCCGTGGGGCTCCGAGGGGCAGGACTGAGCTGCCTCCCTGCCGCAGGACAAGCAGTCGTGGCAGAGCGAACGGGAGATCTTCAGCACGCCAGGCATGAAGCACGAGAACCTGTTGCAGTTCATTGCTGCTGAGAAGCGAGGCTCCAACCTGGAGGTGGAGCTGTGGCTCATCACAGCCTTCCACGACAAGGTGAGCTCCCCCCGCCGGAAAGACCCCAGCGGACAGATGGGTCTCGTGCTGGTTTTGTGATTAGGGTAGATGACCCCTGTACCAGGTGCACCTGTCACTCTGGGCCACTTTCTGGGGCAAGAGTCATCACTCTGCCCGTTCTGCGTATTGCAGAGGCTGGGTTGGGTTGCATCTTGTCCTGCATTTGGAGCTTTTGCCCAAGTCTGTGCTGCCTTCTTTTAGGGCTCCCTCACGGATTACCTCAAGGGGAACATCATCACCTGGAACGAACTGTGTCATGTGGCAGAGACAATGTCACGAGGCCTCTCGTACCTGCACGAGGATGTGCCCTGGTGCCGTGGCGAGGGCCACAAGCCTTCTATTGCCCACAGGTACCTGGATTAAGGAGCTCTCCCTGCACTTGTGCTGGGTTGCCCAGAGGGCTAGTGTTGGAAACCAGAGGCGCCTCCCTGTGGTGTGTCAGAGCAAATCTGGCCTTCCTGTGTTCCGGGATAGCTAGCTCTCCAGGCCAGTATTCTGGAGCCCTCTGCTGGGCTCATGAGGAAGTGCTGACTCCTTTGCTTAGGAGAGCTGGCCTTTCTAGTTCTCAGTTGTTGGTCAAGAGCATTTTGTATCCTTAGAAGGACTCTATCTAATCTATGTAGGTTATGTTTGCTGATGCTTGCTGGTATATAGCTCGTGTGTTTGGTTATGTATGATGGCCATGGCATTTTACTCCCGGGATGAGCTTAAAAAGGCAAACGATAGATGATTGCAGAAATGATACAGGGCTCGTAAAACTGTCTTAGGATCTTTTAGGATTTCTGAGCCATCCCCCGCTTTTGTGTGTGTGTGTGTGTGTGTGTGTGTGTGTGTGTATTTCGAGACAGGGTTTCTCTGTAGCTTTGGAGCCTGTTCTGGAGCTAGCTCTTGTAGACCAGGCTGTCCTCGAACTTAGAGAGATCCTCCTGCCTCTGTTTCCCAAGTGCTGGGATTAAAGGTGTGTGCCACCACTACTCAACCATCCTTTTTTTTTTTTTGAGTTAGAGTTTCATTATATAGCTCAGGCTATCATGACTCCACGGCCTCCAGACTCTAGGCATATAGACAGGAGCCATCATGCCAGCCTTGAATTTCACCTTAAGAGCCACCTAGTTAACTTGGCACTGTTGTGTGCAATTAACCGGCACTCACCGGGGCCAGGCTGGATAATACACACCTTTAATCTCAGCACTAAGGAGGCAGGAGCAGGTGGAGCTTTGTGAGTTTAAGACCAGTCTGGTCTACACAGTGAATCCCAGGTCAACCAAGGCCACACATGAGACCCTTCTCACCCCCTCCACCCCCAAAAGAAGACTCCGGCAGTAGCTGTTCCAGACACTCAAAAAATGTCACCTCCCTGAACCCTGTTGCAGGGTGAGGTGAAGCTGTCTCTGTCAGTCCCACCGTAGAGGTGGTGGAGCTATAGCACAGAGACTGCAGCTTAGTGGAGGCCCCGGAACGACTTCAGTCTGGCCCTGTGACTGAGGGAGGGATGAGCCTCCCTGTTGACTGTTGGCTTCAAAGCTGAAGGGCTCCCGATGGTGTTGATAGTAGTGAGAGAAGGCTGTGTGTGAGGCAAAGGCTGGCGCTTGCTCACATAGTTCAGCCTAGCAGCAGCGCCTAGTACATGTAGGGCTGGCCTGAAGCGTCTGTGTGGTCCTCAGTTTAGTCCTCACAGCCAGGCTGAGGGAGAAGTTGGGGAGACTCGGGGCTTGAGGACCCCGAGTTGGGGCAGAGCTGAGGCCGCACACTCCCTGCTCTGCCCCGCTGTGCAGCTGTGGCAAGCAGCTTTTAGACTCTTGTTTCTTTCCAAACATTGAGAACTTCTCGGAAGACTCGTGTGCCATGTCCTCTGAGAATCTTTGGACTGACTTTTAGGATCTGCCCAGCCACCACAGCCTGTTCTGCAGGCTCCGGCAGAAGCCTTCTGGAGGGGGCGGTGCAGGACTCCAAAGCAGCTTTACCTCCTTCCCCCGGAGAGTTGGGGATGGTTTAAGATGGGAGTTGCAAACCCACGCTCTAGCACTGTGAGAGCCATAGTGGGAGGAGGGTCCTGATCCCTCAAGCTCACGGCGGGCTGGGTGTTGATGAGCTTCAGCTAGACTCTGGGCCTCCACAGGGACTTCAAAAGCAAGAATGTCCTGCTGAAGAGTGACCTCACTGCTGTGCTGGCAGACTTTGGCCTGGCTGTTCGGTTTGAGCCGGGGAAGCCTCCAGGGGACACCCATGGGCAGGTAAGGAGTCTGGACAGCGGAGTTAGGAGCCGGCACAGGACTGTTGCTCCTGCGCTCAGCCAGAGTGACTGTGGAGCTGCCTGGGAACTCAGAGCACCGGGGTTTTTGTCTCACCAGCGGGGAAACCAAGTCTTGGAGATTGGCGAAGCTTCCTCCGACCAGGCAGCTGAGCAATCCAGGATCCCCATTTGGGCTTTGGCCACTACTCCTGTATTTCAGTCTTTTTCTGTTTTAATTATTTATTTTTCAAAAATACATTTCATGTGTGTGCGTGTGTATGTGTATATGTGTGTGCATGCATGCGTGCGTGCGTGCATGTTTTATTTAGGGGTCAGTTTTGGGGAAGTCTGAGGTACTCACTGGGTGTCTTGCTTGATCACCTGCCCCCTTGTATACGAAAGCTGGTCTTTCCCTTGAACCGGCATCTCACGCATCAGTCTAGCCAGCTTGCTCTGGGGACCTTGCCCTGTTTTCCAGGTGCTGGTGTTGCAGGCAAGCTGCTTTATGCGGGTCCTAGATACCCAAACTCATTTTATGCTTGAGTGACAAGTACCATAGGAGTTAAGCCATCTCTCCATCTCCTTGTTTGTTAGAGGGTCTCTGTGTTGTTCAGGCGGGGCTGGAACTCGGATCTCTTGCCTCACCTTCTGAGTGCCTGGTTTTGCATCAAGTAGTAATCTCGGTAGAGCACAAAGCCTTGGAGTAGCTTGTTGGGGTGTTCTGGGACCCGTGTAGCTAGTTTGTCAGTACTGTCTCCATTTGGTGATGTTTCTACAGTTATCATCAGCTATGATCTTAACTCTGATGGAGCAGGGCTTTGTGCTTTGACTTTCTGTCTTAATCGGTCTGGTGTACACAGGCCGCGGTTCTCCCAGCTGAGTCTGTATTTGAGTGTAGCTGGTCTCTGGAGACCCTGCCCTCCTTTGTGTTCCTGTAGGTTGGCACGAGACGGTACATGGCACCTGAGGTACTGGAGGGAGCCATCAACTTCCAGAGAGATGCCTTCCTGCGCATCGACATGTACGCTATGGGGCTGGTGCTGTGGGAGCTGGTTTCTCGTTGCAAGGCTGCAGATGGTGAGTGAGTGGCAACTCTGTCATCCTGGCCTGGGGACGGGGAGCTGGACGTCGGGTGATCTCACCAGCCTCTCACTTCTCAGGGCCTGTCGATGAGTACATGCTGCCCTTTGAGGAGGAGATTGGCCAGCACCCTTCACTGGAGGAACTGCAGGAGGTGGTTGTCCACAAGAAGATGAGGCCCACCATTAAGGATCACTGGCTGAAGCATCCGGTGAGGGAGCGGGGTTCAGGAGACTGGGGGTGTGTGCGAAGGGACCTGCCTTGTATGACAGGAGCCTAGGAGCCTAGGAACAAGGAAAGGGCGCCATGTTCCCTAGACCCTAGGGATGTATCTCTGAGGTTGTGGGGAATAAGGTAGACCCTGACCTCCTTCTTGTCCCCACTGTGGCTCAACTGCTAAATGTTGGGCCTTTGTGTTTGGATTTGTGTACAATTTGATTTGAGTTTAGTGCTCCAAGGCTGCAGCCACAGCTGCTCTGGGGGAACAGGAGTTCCTCTTCTTCCTGTGTTGAAGTTTAGCGCACAGTTCCGAGGGTCTCTAAGGGAGGCCTGGACTCAGTGAGGTGACTGATGGGAGGGCAGGACTATGGAGGCCTGCAATTTGTAGCCTTCTAATCGACCTGTAATGGCCGTGGCTGGGCCATCGGCTCTGCCTGATCCTGACACATCGTCACTTGCTGCCCTAACAAGGATTCTCACCCCCCCCCCCCCGGCTCTGCAGGGCCTGGCCCAGCTCTGTGTGACCATTGAGGAGTGCTGGGACCACGATGCCGAGGCTCGCCTTTCTGCGGGCTGCGTGGAAGAGCGGGTGTCCCTCATCAGGAGGTCGGTCAACGGCACTACCTCGGACTGTCTAGTCTCTCTGGTGACCTCCGTCACCAATGTGGACCTGCCCCCTAAAGAGTCCAGCATCTAAGCCTAGGATACGAGCGTCTCTCCAGACTCAGTGGATCTGAAGATAAAAGGAAAAAAGTTGTGTTTTGTTTTGGAAATCCCATATAACCAACAAACACATAAAATGCAGCTGCTATTTTACCTTGACTTTTATTATTATTATAATTATTATTAATAATATTATTTTTGGATTGGATCAGTTTTTACCAGCATATTGTTCTACTGTATTGCAAACAGCGGACACGTCAGCAGGCGTTGAGGTGCTGAGCTGTGAATGCAGAACCAGCGCCGTGCTGAAGAGCCTCAGCCACCTCCTGTCCTTCGGGATCTGTTCCCCCAGCGTTCTCTTTGTCGTCTCAGCGTCTGTAACACAAAGAAACCCATCTCCTGTCCTAGGAACCTCAATGCTGCAATCTCTACTAGAGGAACCTTTGAAGACTGTTACATGAACATACCCTTGCTCAGAAGAGGGTCCCCCTACCCCTTTATTTTGTGTTTCTCCCTTTTCAGGCAGTGAGCTTAAGAAATGGCAGATGTGTCTTCATGGATCGGATGGGTGTCATCCTGACCCAGCAGAGGGAAACAGAGATGAGGAGGATGGTTTAGACCCAAGTTGGAAGGGAGGATGTTTCTGGGGCGGGTTGGGAGCAGAGCTACACTGGACTTGGGCACATTTGGAGCAACACCCTTGGCTATGGAGGCTGTTTTCTCAGGTAACAAGGGATCGAGGGCAAGGACCTTCTGAGGGCCGAGCAGTAATAATGGCATGCACAGGCAGGGTCTGGGAAAGTCCAGGAGCGGGGCCAGGCTGCTCTGCCTGCCCGTTTTCTTCATACTAACTTGGGCTTGCCCACAGGAGGAAATACTACCTTGCTGGCGTCTTAAGACTAGGTGGGGGCATTACAGCTTAGTGGACGTTCTTCGTTAGACATGATGGATGCTGTGGATCTCTTTATGGAGGAGACACCGAACTGCAGTTTCCTGTTGGCAGTTTGGGGAGACGCCTGTGGCGCCCACTGCACGGGGTGAGTGGCCCAGAGGATCCCTGGGTGGGCGCCTTGCTGGCCTGCAGCTCTGGCTTGGCCCCATGCAGCGGCATTATTGGCTCCTGTCTGAGGCTCCTGGACACGGCTTTCTCTGGACCCTTTAAAGCGGTGCATGGTACATATTCTAAAACTGTTTTCTCATACGCCATAACCTTGCTCCGGGCGGTGAATGTTCCTAATGCTGCTGTTTCGACATTGGAATTTTTTTTTATTTATGAAACATGCTAAATTTTTTTTTCAGACAGAACACACACATCCACATATATACACATCCTTTGCTGTGTGGCTTCCGAGGTTTAAATTTTAAAATGTAAAGGAAGTAACTTCACGACCACAGACCACCTCAAACCAGAAATACCTCAGAATTTTCTACTTGTGTATGTTTTATTAATTATATATTTTGTTAGTTGTGTTGTCTTGTAGGAAGTATATTTTAATGTGAGTTGGGTTTTATGACAAGGAAGTTTAAAAGAAATAATAGAGAAAAAGAAGAAAAGCTTGTGTCTTCTAGCCAGCACTACCATTTTGTTTGCTAGGAGCTTCTTGTAAATAGCAGCCATCAGCCGTGGGTCGCTGTCTGAGCTGGCTGGGCATGCATCGCGCTGGGTTAGGCCGGATTTAAACAGCACATCTCTGTCTGGAGGGTAGGCCACTTCCTCCTGGGTTGCTTGGAGGGCCAGGTGTTGTTCCTTAAGTCCCCTGGGTAGTATTCAGGATGACACCCCTACTTTAACTCAGCAGAACCACAGCCCTCAGGCCCAGGTGAGGTAGAAGTGGAGGGTTAATTCCTTTGGCTCAGCCTGTGACTATGCTGTGAAATCTGGGAGGGCGCAGCTCAGAGCTGGGCAGCTGCTCCCTCAGCTTGTGGTGTGTGGTGCCCGGGGAAGCCTGGGCTTGTTCTTTTCTGTGGGTGTTTGTGTACAGGGTGCTGAGGAAGGCCAGTTGACTTCCCTCTCAGACCTTGGTCCTCGTTTCTGTGGATCACCGTGGGCTGGCCAGGTAGTTGGGGGACATGGACTTTGTTTGTGTAAGCTCTGTGTGTCCCCTTCTCCCCCCGCCTGACTTTGTGCTTCGGGATTTCCTTCTCTCAGAAAACCTTTTTCCTAGCGAAACAGGTCTTACAGCAGTTGCTTTTCCTTCCCACCTCTTTCTTTAAGAAGCTTTAAATATTTATTGAAAAGTGCCATATCTGCTTTCTTTAGCTTTCTCCTCAGGCAGTGGAGAGCTCTACTTTTGACCCTTAACAAACCACTAAGAAGTGTAGATCCTTCGCTGCGGGAGTGACCCAGTCACCAGTCACACACTGTGCCAAACATTAAACCTAGATTCCCTGTGTGCTCTTGTGACCCTGGGTGTTTTTCTCTTGTGTGCTGGCTTGGTTTTGTCATAGCATCTCGGCCTGGCTGAGCTCTGGTGTAGAACATCCCACTCAGGGCAGGCCTGATAGCGTTTCTGGGGGTGGCTTCCCACTTTGCTGACTCTGTGTCCAGCCACAACAGTGTCCTTGTCAGGCCTTTGCACCAGAATGGAGTGTCACGAGGGGGTACCTGTTTGGTGTGGCCTGGAGAAGGGAGAGTTGGGGTGGTGGTGTCTGTGAATAGGGGCTGGAGACCGCCTTGAGCCTTCGGGTAACATACCCAGTTGCTCATGGGAGCTAGGTGCTCTTCCAGGGTGGCCCTTGTCCCTCCCTCTCTCTCTCTCTCTCTCTCTCTCTCTCTCTCTCTCTCTCTCTCTCTCTCTCTTTCTTTTTGTGTCCAGTGGGGTCATAGGGCCTCTGCCTTCCACTCTGTCACAGATTTTATGTCACTTTTCCTTCTAGTCCCCTGTCCCTAAGCTTCTGGAAGCCTGAGGAAGTCCCCGTGTGTTCAGAGGGATGAGATCAGTCAGGAGAGAAGCAGCTGGAGAGTTCTTTTCTCTTCACTGCATGCTGTGGTCCAGATAGGCTCCTGTGGCCATGGGCTTTGGCAGAGAATGTTCTGGTTGAAAATCCCTGTGATAACAGGCAGTCATCCGTTGCTAAAGACTTCTGTGGCTGTGTCAGAGAAGGACAAAGCAAATGAAGACAGGGCTGCCATGTCGTGGGGCTCTGCAGAAGACCCTCATGGACGGCAAGGAAGACCATAGACAGCCATTAGCGTCTGGGCTAACATGGGCTGCCCTGGTGCCCCCAACACCAGATGCACAGGGACGTGCTGGCCCTTCTGCTCAGACCTCCACAGCAAAGGGCAGACCTGCTTCTCATCACGAGGCTACCAGGCTTGCCGGGTGCAGCTGGGTCAGCCCTTCCTGACAAGGCTTGGTGCTTCTAGCATAGAGTATGTTCCTGCCGTGCCCTGTCCTCCCTGCCTGCCTGGACAACACCCTTGACCCTCTCTGTCTTGCTACTCTGTCCTAGGCCTTGGGCTTTATAAAGGAATTTTCTTGGTGGCCAGCCTATATCTATTTAATGTTTGCCATGTGTTTTGGCTCAGCCTGGCATGTGGTGGTTCCTAAGCTTAGCCGCTTAGGCAAAGAAGTGACTGTTCCACCCAGAGCTAGAGGACTGGCTGGCTCTCTCTCTCACTCACACACAGAGTTTCACTTTTGTAGTGTGTGAAGTTTAGTGTACACTGCTGGGTAGGAGGATGTCTTGTTTTTCCTAAATAATTAATACAGCAAAAGCTCACTGTACTAGAGTTGAATTCCTGCCGCTGTTCTCAAGAACTCGGCTCATAGATGCGTCCCAGATCACAGGAAAGTTTCATTCAGCTCAAGCTTCACCATCGCCTGTTTCATCCTTTGGGACTTGGTGGCGCGTCCGGAGAGGTGATTCCGGAGCAGTAGGCGACACCTTTCCCAGAAGTGCTGTGTGCCGTCCAACCATCCTTCTGCTAACTGGGGAACCGGCCAGAAAGGGTGACGGCAAGGTGTCCCTTTCCTCTCAGCTTGGGTGACGGGACCTCCCCTTCATCACTGGCTGTTTGTAAAGGCTAAATTTCAGCAGCTGGCTTGTTTGGCCTGGTGTTGAGCTTAAATCCCAGCTAACATTGTTTTAGATAAGTATGCTGAGTAGTTCAGCCGATGAGTCCTTTACAGTCTAGGCGCCAAACTTTCCGTGCACCCAGGATTTAATGCGTAGTTCCTTATGTGTGCTTCGGGGTAGCTCTGCAGCCAGCAATCCTGCTGGGAATGTACCCCAGACCTCTGGGAGGTTTAGGGAAGTGTTTTGGGATAATGATAAGTTTTATAGAACATTAAATTAAGTTTAAAACACTTCCTTGGGAATCAATTAGTTGATTCCAACACACTTTAAAAAAATTAGTTCAATCAATAAATCAGCCCAAGTTCTTTGGTGGGCTCTTGGGATATTGCTATTTGGACTGCTTTGCAATTGCTGTAAGTTACTGTTGGGCTGACAATTTGAACTGAGATCGGGAACGCCTACATCTTTTTTTCTAAACCAAGTTTAGCATTTTCATGCTGGCGTCTTCCAGGCGTGAAGGAAAGAAGACTTTGCCCTTGCGGTGCTATACCTGTCTCCTTAGTGCCCACGCCAGCGAGCGCCACTTCCCCATCCACGGAAGCACCTGGCAACGTTTCCCTAAAGAATTAAAACGCCTGCGTGGGGCAGTGGGCTCTGCATGGCCTCTTGTTCTCCAGGCCTCTGTCCGTGGACTGTCTAGGCTGAGTTAGCGTAGGCTGCCGCATGGGTGCGCTTGGCTGCTGTCGGAACGGGGAGATCTGGACACCTGCAGATGAGACGTACTACATTCGTTTGTAGACTGCGTGTTTGAGTTTACAGTTAGGAGGCGAGCGACCCCATTAGTTTTTTTGGGGGGAGGGGCAAGCAAAGGTGGGTTTTATGTGAGTGAACAAACACTGCCTCGAGTTCTGGAGCGCCCACCCTTCCCTGACTCCTGACCACTCTGCATCAGTGTTGTAAATAAGAGTAGTTCTATTAAGAGATGTCACTTGAAGTTTTCCTTACGAAGTCCGTAGCTCCACCCATCTATTTAGTTCTGTCACGTGACGTCGCCTCCACGCAGTGTGGAGATTGTTTTGTACTACAGATTATTTTTATAAACTAGTGAGTCGGAGTGAGATCGCTTCTGTAATCCAAGCCGATGAGCTTTACTTTCAGGATCGTGCGCACACTGGAGTACGAGGGCTGGAGCTTAGCGCTTGCATGGGTTCCTGGATACCCTGGCAGCCCGGAGTCGATTTACGGGTCCCCGTTGCCCAGGCTCCACTCACAGGGCAGTGAGGCCTCGGTCCTGCTTCCTGCCTGTGGAGGGGACAGCGGCCGGGTGAAGGGAGGAGCTTGTAGTGGGTTTAATTTATGCTGAACAAGGGGTTCTGAGGTTGAAACTTTGCTCCTTTCGTAGAAGGTACCTGACTGGGTTTGGAAGTGGTAGCACAGAGCCCGAAGGACGCATCTAGAGAAAGATTTGAGCCACAGAAAACATTCAAATGGGATTTGGTGGCCTGAGTTCTGCTAACCAGAACCATCTAGGACCATACTGAGCAGTTCTTTGGAAACAGTGGGGCTCATGGATATAGTGCAGGAATTAAATGGAGGGTTCCCAGGCACAGTTTGTCCCTTTTGATCAGGGCTGCTTTCTGCTCTGTTGTAAAGCAGGAACCAACAGAGGAAGCTCAGTACCCCAATCTCAGAGCGGGGTGTCTTTCAGATGCCTGCAAAGGGTTTCTGGCAAGGCCTAGGTGGCCTTCATCTCAACTTTTGATTTTGGGGGAGAGTGGGTGGGACTTTGCATAGGGATGGGGAGGTGGATAATTCAGCTAAATCATGTCCCATGGCCAGTTCTGAGGTTCAGCCGAAGACCTCCTCCCTATACTCTGCCTGCTGGCTCCAGCCTCCTGCTTAGAGAACTGCACTGGATGGGTGCTCCTGCTAAGAGAGCCTTAGTGTGTTGTTTCAAGCCAGCCGTGGTCTCTTCATCCTGATTTAGAATGTTGTTTTACCTGTTATCTATCCCCTTTCTGCTGGGGACACTTAGTCCCAGCTCTAGCTGCATTCTGGAAGCTAGCTCCCCCGCTTCTGTTCCCCATAAAAGACTTCTGTGCTCTCCAGCCGCCTGTCTCGGAATGTAATTCTGTTGTGCCTTGGTTTGTCACCCACCCCTCAAAAGCGACTGCAGTAAGCTTTCTCTACTTGTCTCTTCTAGCCCCCGCCCCTTCCTGCCTCCCTTTCCAGCCCTGATTTCTGGATGCACTTGTGTGATCCGGGTACTTTAAGAACCGGTTACCTCAGACCTCACGTTGAACGGTGTCTCCACCTGGGCTCTCTTGATAACTGCCGACTCTTACCACACGTGCAGAAGGCCCACTGAGTGTGGGCACTGACTCGTTTTAAAGCAAAACTCTTCCCAGATGGACCGGGGGCTTCTGGCAAGCCTGCCCTGGCGCTGCGGGGGGGGGGGGACTGGTTGGGCATGTCATCTGAACGGTGCTTCCTGTGTCCTGTGCATTCTGCCGTGTTCAGTATTCTCATGTGTCTGAATAGGCAAAGCAACCTAACTAGCTGGTCTCGCACGCAAATGAGCTCCAAAGACCAGCTCTTTGTAACGCCCGCATTTCCAGTCTCCAGAGCTCAGACCTAGAACATTCCGTCAAACAGCAGGGTAGAAGCCCCACCCCCACCCCCATCCACTGCCACAGTGCGTTCTGGGAAGATGTCTGTAGTGTATGTTGCTGTGGAATTAGGCCTTGTGGGATATGGCTGCTTGTCATTTTGATGTATTTTAAATAAATATATATATATATTTTTAAAGAGCCTTTTTTACCAGTTCAGAAAGCTTAATTAACCAGCTGTCATCACCTGAATTTTTGTCTCTGGGGCACAGACGGCAGGGTGAGATTAAAAGTGGTAACTCAGTCATGAGTTGCCTGCCCTGGGCTGCCCTGCTGTCCCGCTGACCATGGGACACTAGGGTCAGCGTGCACCTGGTGGGTTTCAACTCAGCCCTCCAGGTGTCTGGTGTCTGCCCTACTTAGCGGACTGCTGACCTCAGTCCTCGCAAGTGCTTTAGCCCTAGTGGGGTTTTCCCAGAGCACTGCCACGAGCGAAGTGTATGAGTTTAGCCAAATAATTTCTCCATAAGGGAAAAGCGTTACAGAGACCAGAGTAGGAAACACGAGTTGTCAGAGGCCGCCTGGGAGCAAGCAGTTGTCACGTGGGCAGAGACCTCAGTTGAAATGCCAGGCCCACCAACAAGAGCGCAATGACTAAAATGCCGGCGGCTTGCTTTCCCTCGCTTTTCTTGTCCAGAATTCTATAAAAATGCAAAGACAGTTGGGTGGTACTTGAGAACTGAAGGCGAGGGTTACTGCAGATTAGCAACAGACTTGGAGATTTCAGTGCCATGACACAAATCCACACGATGCCATTTTCAACTGTACAAGAGAATCTGCTTATGAATGCGACACGGTCCCAACAGTGACGTTAGAGGCCATTTTCACCTGCTGCTCTTTTTCCACAACTGCCCTTGAATCTGTCTTAGTTGTGCAGTACTGCAAACTCACCTTGCGTCGAGTTTGATGTCCATTCCCGTGGAGAAGAGCATTTGGCATGTGACAGACAGTGAGTTGGAAATAGAGCAGAACATCGAATTTTGCAGGGACAGTTTTGGAACCAACAGAAAATGTCACTTTTTATTTACCATCTTATATATCAGTTTTACCAGCTACTTCTAAATTTGTACATTATTTGGAAGAAAAAAAAAACTTAAGACTTGTCTAACTTAGTGGAGAATGTGTGTGCTGCCCTTAGGATGGGTAGCTAAGTCTCACTGAGCTGTGTTATCTAACTTGTATATATGAATTGTAATTAAAAACTTGGATTCATCTGTTTCTCACAGTTTAAAATGATGAGTCATTGCAAAGTCTGCAAGTGTGACTAGTCTATGATTTCAGGCTGTGTAGACGAGAAAGCTCTCTCAAGTGCTGAAACTAAAAACTTCTAGTTTGGGGCTCCAGTTCGATTGAGTACTGTTTGTTTGCCAGAATCTGTGAGGTGTAAATGTAGCGGGACACTTTCCACCCTTGTAGCTATAAAACAAACATTTTGTAGATCAGAAAATAGCTTGTACTACTGAATTAACAAAAGTTATACTAAAGTATCATGTCTTAAAAAATATATATATATAATATATATATATATTATATATATATACAGAGTTAAGCTTGTTGCTGTTACCCTGTCTGGATTTGAAAAGTGTGCTGATTTATATATATCTATATATATTACACACACACACACACACACACACACACACACACACACACACAATGGCCTGAAGCAGACATCCATGTAATTACAGTTGCGAAATGCAAACGTTTTGGAAAGAACATTGTATCATAGTTCATTCATTTGCAGTGGATCTTTGCTCCTTTCTCCTGTGGTAATTTTAGAAACGAGTGTCAAGTTTGAAATTAGATCTGCTAAGTTGGGGTTTTGCTGCTTGAATACTGCACTGGGTCCTCAAACAAACCGATGTGAATGTAGTTTTCCCCCTGTGTGAAGGAGCAGCCACACCCCCCAACAGAATAGGAGGAAAAATCTAGAACTATTTCAAGTTTTATCTTTTTGTATATGAAAATAAATAATAATAAATAAGTAACCTTGTCTGTCTTTTTTATTTTCTTTTTTAAAAAAAATTGTGAGTATCTCTGTATATGTGTATTTGTATGCTGTGTATGGATGCCTAGGGAGGCCAAAACTGGTGATCAGATCCCCTGGAGCTGGAGTTACTCAGGTAGTTGTGAGCTGACATGTGTGTGCTGGGAACTGAACTTAGATCCTCAGGAAGAGCAGCAAGTGCTTTTAACCACTGAGTCATCTCTCCAGCACCTCCACCCTTCTTCCAAGACAGGGTTTCTCTGTGTAGCCTTGACTCTCCTGAAACTAACTCACTTTGTAGATCAGGCTGTCCTTGTACTCCGGTCCACCTGCCTCTCTTGAGTGCTAGGATTAAAGGCGTGTTCCACTACCCCCTGGGTAGTTTTCATTTTTAAACTGTGTGTGTGTGTGTGTGTGTGTGTGTGTGTGTGTGTGTGTTTGTGTGTGAGGTGCGGGGGAGTATTTGCATCTGAGTGCAATTCTGAGGAAGCAAGATGTCACATCTTCTGGAACTGGAGCTCCAGGTGGCTGTAGCTGCCCAGCCCTTGGCTGGGTGCTGGGAATGGCCCTTGGGGTCTCTGCATGAGCAGTGAGTGCTCTTACCACCGAGCCACTGCTGACAGCAAAGATGTCCTCCGTCCTCCACATGCATGCCATGGCATGGGCATACACAGATACACTAGTAATCATACATGAAACTTTTTTTTTTTCGAGACAGGGTTTTGCTGTAGTTTTAGAGCCTGTCCTGGAAGACCAGGCTGGCCTCGAACTCACACAGATCTACCTGTCTCTGCCTCCCGAGTGCTGGGATTAAAGGCACACGCCACCACCACCCGGCCATACATGAAACTTTTAAAATTAAAAACCAACCACAGCCCCATAGCTAGTGGCACCACATTCCAGCAGAGTACTTGGCAGATCGAAGCAAAATGGCCAGGGCCTCGGGGTCATCCCCTAAATGGACTATTCTGCGAGTAAGGGTGAGTTCCTGAAAGACAGGAGGATGTTTTCTGGAAGTGCCAGGAAGGCCACCTCAGGCCTCCCTCTGCTTTGCAGCCCATGCTGAGCAGAATTCTTAGGAGTGGGTCAGAGAAGCCCGGGTTCAGGTGCACGAGACTTGCTCTCCAACCTGGCTACGTGTGGGGTAACCGCTGAGCCACTGAGAAAATCAGCACCAAATGAGAGCCCAAGTCCCCGAAGGAGTAGAGCAACACTGGTTTCTGTTGCCTCGCAGAGAACACAGCTGCGGAAACCAGCCTGCTGCTCTCTGCAGACAGGGTTTTAAGTGGAGAAGTGTTGTTTTTGAGTCCTGCTTCTGGCTGGGCGGTAGCTGCCTTGTAAGTCACCCTTTTTTAAGTAAGCATCTGCTGGAAGACTCTTCAGCGGCCTTTACAGGCCTGCTGTGCAACCTCTGACCCTTTCTAGTCTCTCAGATAATGTTTCTTCAGTGAGTGCAGAAAAGAGATTTTTAGCCCGGTGGCGTACGCCTTTAATCCCAGTCAGAGGCAGGTGATTATTTTTGAGTTCGAGGCCAGCCTGGTCTACAGAGTGAGTTCCAGGACAGCCAGGACTAAGAAAATCCTGTCTTGAAAAAAACCAACAACTGAATCCTTTTTTTTTCTTTTTCTTTTTTCTGTTCATCTAGAGAAACCTTTTCTTTTTTTAAAGACTGTGATTCACCATGTAGCCCTGGCTGGTCTGGACTTGTTACACAGACCAGGCTGGCCTTGAACTCTAAGAGACTGGCCTGCTTCTGCCTCCTGAGTGCTGGGATTAAGGCATGTGCCACCAGGTCCAGCAAAACTCACAGTTTTGGCAAAGGAGTTGGAAAATCTTTAAGACTGGCTTTAAGGCTTACCTGGCTGCTTCCCTAGAGCAAAGGAACTTTCATGAAAAGAAACCACACTGTGAATAGTTTGTGAAAACAAATGTGAGAAGTAGAAAAGAACTCAAGAATTACTGCCTTGTCCCCCACTGATAAATCTCAAGCATCCCAGGGAAGACTGGGACTCCCTTGGAAATTTAAAAACTGGTCCAGTCCTATTTTAGGTGGGCAAGGAGGTCCCCAGGACGCTTCACTGTCCCAAAGCAGCGGTCCTTCCAGTTCTTGGGGCCAAGTGGCATGTACCGTGACATTCAAGTAAAAGATCTAGATGACGAAAAACTCACCTATGTGCTTTGTACTTAAAAAAAAAAAAAAGTAGGTGTTTTCCTGGCACCTGTCTGTGCACTGTGTGTGTTGTGCACACGATAGCCAGAAGAGGGCATCAGATTCCCTGGGATGGAGTTCTAGCCTGTTGTGAGCCTCCATGTGGGTTCAGGAAGTGAACCCAGGTCTAGGACTCTTACCTCATCTTTGCACTTGGATGACTGTAACAAGTTCTGATGGCAGCTTCCAAAGTAGCCTTCATGGCCACTGACGAGTATTTTTTTGGTTGTATTATCAGGGTTTTCCATTGCACAAGACAGAAATTTCTAGGCTAAAAGGGGCTGTACTGGAAGGAGACCGGTGAGGTGGCCACCTATCTTGGGAAAAGGCAGGAAGTGGACTTCAAGAGCCTTAAGAGCTGGGGCCATTGAGTCACAAGGTCTCCAGACCTGTACTTAAGCATTTGTTCTGTAATTGCTCTGTGGGGGGACCAGATACAGTTGCTGTGTGTTTACTGGGCTGGAAACTAGTCTGTAGATGGATGGAGGTGGGTAAATCACAGGCTACTACCTGGAGAGAGAACTCGGCCTCTGACTCCATTAGAAAGGGCGGCTAAGCCAGCTCAAGCAGTCAGGGTCAGAGACCTGTGGAATCATACGCGACTTCACCAGAGGTATTCTTCGGGAGAAATTCCTCAAACAGCTTTGTCTGTGTGAGGCTTTGAAGACCTTGCCTGAATTTCCTCGGTTAGTCACAGAGATGGCCTCCTGCTGAGTGATTGCCCTTGAGGTCAGATGAAAGCTCTGGGTTTCCAGTGAAGAAATGGGAATTGGCTGGGGATGTGGTCAGTTCGTAGAGCGCTTGCCTAGCATGCTCTAGGTTGGAGCCCCCAGCACTGACTAAATTGGGCATAGTGGGACACACCTGGAATCTCAGCGTTCTGGAGGTGGAGGCAGAAGGATCAGACATTCGAGTCCATCAGCTACATAGAGTTCAAGACTATCCTGGGATATGCGAGTCCCTGTCTCCAGGCGGAAAATAGCAGTGTACTGTAACAAAACTTTAGGTCCACCTCGGAGGCTGGAGGCCATGCTGCAAGGTCCTCGAGGACCCATTCATCTGAGTGTAATCCTGTTAAATAGATGTTCTTCCTTTATCAGTGGACATTTGCCAATTCGTTTTTTTAAAATTTATTTATATTTTATGTACATTGGTATTTCGACAGCATCTATGCCTGTGTGAGCTTGTTGGATCCCCTGGAACAGGAGTTACAGACAGTTGTGAGCTGCTATGTGGGTGCTGGGAATTGAACCTGGGTCCTCTGGAAGAGCAGACAATACTCTTTTTGTTTTTGCTTTTGCTTTTGGAGACAGGGTTTCTCTGTGTTCCTTTGGAGCCTGTCTTGAAACTCGCTCTGTAGACAAGGCTGGTCTCAAACTCACAGAGATCCCCCTGCCTCTGCCTCTCAAGTGCTGGGATTAAAGGCGTGCGCCACAACCACCTGGCTGCAGCCAATGCTCTTGACCACTGAACCATCCCTCCAGCCCCCACCAGTTTCATATTCTAAAACCAAGAATAGTGGTGTCATAAAATAGGCTAACATTTACAGCGTGCTTGAAGGCACACATCTTATGTATTACCTCCTCAGCCTTAGTCCTGTCTAAGATGATGATGATGGAACGGTGATTTTAACTGCTTTTTTGAAATAGGTCTGGCTGTGTAGCTGAGATCCATTTGGAGCTCACTATGTAGTGTAGGCTGGTCTTGAACTCAGACATTCCGTCCTCAGCCTTCCTAGATCTTGGATTATGGATAGCTCGACCAAACCCGATTATAATCTTATCACATTCAATTGTTTCTGTCTGGCTGTGCACACCTGTGCATGTAGGAGGGCAAGTGCACAGCTGTGGAGGTCAGAGGTCGGCTCTCAGGAGTCAGTTCTCTTCATCAGGTGCACAGCTGTGGAGGTCAGAGGTCGGCTCTCAGGAGTCAGTTCTCTTCATCAGGTGCACAGCTGTGGAGGTCAGAGGATGCTCTCAGGAGTCAGTTCTCCCCTTCCATCTAGTGGGCTCCAGGGGTTGAGTGCTGGTGTCAGTTTTGGTGGCCAGTACTTTGACCAGATAAGCAGTTTTGCTGGTTCAGACACAAATTAAAAGAGGAGACATGATGGGGTGCCACATCCGAGTAGTTTGGCAGGGATTTTAACTTCCGAGCTCTGGTCTAGAGTCTCGGGTTACCATGGAGTACTGTTTTGCCAAGAAACTCGATAGGAGGTACAAGCACCATAGCTTAAGAAGTTAAGTGTGTGTATTTTGACTTTGAAGCCAGGTGTTGCAAACAGATCCAATGTGGTACAGGTTTCGGAATCACAACGAATTGGATCATGAGAACACATTTACTCACTATTAAAGGAGTGTAAAGGTATTTTCTTCTGAGGACAGTCCATGCACACGCGATTAAGCCTGCAAGTCACGACGCTTTCAACTCATCCACCATCACCTGGCCCGGACCAGGGATGGAGGCAGGTGCGTCTGCCCCAGCGGTCACCAGGGGACGCACGAGGCCCCCTGCTGCGGCGAAGACTTCTGGGAGGCGGCTCCAAACCGCGCGTGCGTGCATAGTTTTCGGGTTTGGAATTGGGCCTTTCAGGCTTCGGACCCCCGGTGTGCGCAGGCGCGGCAGAGGCTGCGCGCTGGCGTCTCCGGAACGATGGCTGCTAAGAGCTTCGCTTCCCGCCACAGGGACTCGCTGCGGTTTTTGAATGGCTTCTTGGCCGGGGCCGTCGTGGGCGCGGCAGGCGCGGGACTGACGGCGCTGCAGCTCCTCCGGCGTCGGGACGGCGAGCCGCACGGTGAGTCTGCGGGCGGGCGCCATCCCCCGGCCTCTGCGGGCTCCCACGTCACTGCCCTCTGTCCTAAGCGCCAGCTCGAGCTGAGACTCTGTTTGTTCTCCACCTTAGGTGCAGCACAGTACCTGGTACAGAGCTGGCCTTCAGTAAGTGTCTTAGTTTCTTTTCCTGTAGCTGTAACAAGCAAGCAAATACCCGACGAAAGCCGCTTAAGAGTGGTTCGTTTTTGCTCCCAGTTCGAGGTGCAGCCCCTATTATGGCGGGGAAGGACCTTAAAGCAGCTGGCCACACCGCTTCCACAATTAGGAAGCAGGAACGAATGCCCGCTGCTGCTAGGCCCTTTCTATACAGTGTGGGATTCCCAGCCAGGGAATGACCCCGCCCACAGTTAAGCTGGGGGTTCCCACGTCACTAAGTGCAACCATGATCCCCTCCCACACCCCTGCATAGGCATACTCAGGCCTGTCTCAGGTGATTTTGTCTAGATTCTATCAAATTGACATTAGCCCTCACGGCACACATGTCTGAAGGAGTTTCTGTGAAGACTGACTACCCAGTCTTCAGAGTATGTAAGTCCTTACGTTCCCCCGGGGGCACCTGCAGGCCCCGCTTGTCCCAGGATGTGCTATATGCTGAACAATCAGCTTCTTTGATACTTGCCACTATGCCTGAGGACGTCTCTGGTGGTTGGTGCCTGGGAAGTAACCGGCTAGGTATTAGGCGAGAGCTGTTTTTTTTTTTTTTTTTTCTCTCTCTCTCCCACTAGGAGAAAGTACCGGGTTCCCAGTCTTTCCTTGGATTAAAACATGGGGGAAGTGTCAGTGAGGGATTGTTAAGGGTTTTTTTTTTTTTTTTTTTTTTTTTGACTCAGCCAGGCATCAAACCTGTTGGAGTAACAGGTGTGTGCTCCCACTCCTGGAGTTATGGTCTTTAGAAAAATGAAAACGAATATTTAGCCAGGCAGATGGGATACCATGGTGATGAGAAACTACAGTTATGGCCATTTTTGCCTCCTTAAGTAGAAGCCTCTTTCCCGTCCAGTTTAATCAGTGACTGATAGCGGTGACGTGATGGTTTTCCTTTGAGGTCTCCTTATAGTTTGAGGTGCAGACGGATTTGGGAAGCTAATAAGATCGGGTCCTTGTTTATTTTGGCACCAGGAACTGACTAGCACTTGTGCCCAGCGCTGTCACTGAGCTGTGCCCGCCTCCACCCGCACACCTCTTGCCAGGCCTTTATTTGAGAGTCCTGAGGGTGGCAGCCCATCCCTGTAAACTGAGCAACCTGTGGTAGGTGGAGGCAGCGGGAACAAAAGCTCAAGGCCTGCCTGGACCACAGAGCGAGCTCACAGTTAGTGGAGCCATGCAGCGAGACCCTGTACAGACTGAAACATGGAAGGATTGGGAATGTGGCCCTCAGGAATTCTGCCCGACACGAGCGAGAACCCCGAGTTCATTCCCCAGCACCAAGACCAAATACACCCCCTAGAGTTGAGGCTTGGTGAGTACACAGCAGGCCGTAGGCAGGGGATTTTGCTGGCCGTTTTCTCTGACTGAATAACTGCACAAATGAGGTCTGTCTTGTTAGAGCCTCCTGCCCCTCAGCTTTGGGAATCACTCCTGCTGAGACTTTTGAGCCGTTTGCTTTTAGCTACTGCTGTCTTGATAGTCGTTTGTTCTTAGTAAGAGTCACTAATTACTTGTATTTTATTCACCCCCCTCTTTTTCTTTCTTTTTTTTTATTTTCTTTTTCTTTCTTAGAATCTTCAGAAAAAGTTGTCTTGGAACAGTTTGGATTTCCTCTGACCGGAACGGAGACTAGGCGCTACACTAACCATGCCTTGTCTTATGATCAGGCAAAGCGGGTGCCCAGATGGGTCCTTGAGCATATATCCAAGGACAAGATCGTAGGTGGGTGCTTGGAACAGAGTGCAGGCACTGATGAAAGGGTTTCCAGGTTTAGAGTAAGGGGATGGTTGAGAATATTTTCAACTGTAGCCTGTTACAGCACACCCTGAAAATGATGCTTATTTTTCCTCTCTGATTAAATGGATCAAGTTTAGTCTCCAAGGAGCCCAAGATCCTTCCCAGCTGGTTCAGGGGCTGAGAACATCTGTGTTTCAATAGTTGAGTTTCAAGACCCCATCCTAAATATTCACGCAGTGAGCATCATCTTTACCTCAACAGGCCTTTTTTTTTTTTTTTTTTTTTTTTTGGCTTTGGAGCCTGTCCTCAACAGGTCTTTTTTAAACACCCACTAAGTGTGCTCGCACAGTGGTACGAAGCTCTGGGCATATAGCCATGACTAGAGTAAATGGTCTATAGTCCTGTGGCATCTTATTTCTTTCTTTCTTTCTTTCTTTCTTTCTTTCTTTCTTTCTTTCTTTCTTTCTTTCTTTCTTTATTTTTTCGAGACAGGGTTTTCTCTGTGTAACAGCCCTGGCTGTCCTGGGTCTCACTTTATAGATCAGGCTGTCCTTGAACTCAGAGATCCACCTGCCTCTGCCTCCTGAGAGTGCATCACCACCTCCCACTGTCCTCTCCCAGTAGCCCTCAGTGAGAAGTGGAGCTTTGTGACGCCCCTCGCCCCTCTGCAGGTCTTTGTCTGGTTTGAGCTTGTGCAGGTCTTGCCCATGCTGTGCGTGACAGGATGGTCTCTTTTCACGTTTATTCCGTGGTGTTTTCTGTCCCCTCACCGCCTCCTTGTTTTCACTGGGCCTGCTGTCCAGAGTCGTTTCTTCACCGAAAGGCCAGAGTCTGAGTGTAAGAGTTAGTGTCCCTGCGTGAGAATCAGCCTGTCCTAGACCAAGGCTTGCTCAGATGAAATAGCTCAACTATTTTAGGAGCTTAAGACATGTGGTCCCCAATACACCCACTTGAAGGGGTACCGTCTCGCAGTAGCCCACTTGCCTGTCTTAGAGACCCACTGATCAGCATTTTGTGTGTTTTTTCTTCAGGTGACGCGGACAGAAAACATTGTAAATTCAAGCCCGATCCCAGTGTCCCTTCAGCCTTCAGTGCCCTCAATGAGGACTATGTTGGAAGTGGCTGGTCACGAGGACACATGGCCCCAGCAGGAAATAACAAGTTTTCCAGTGTAGGCACACTTTGAGAGGATGAGGATGTGTGGCTGATGGTCTAGGGACCAGAACATAAAGCTTGAGGATGTCCGTGTCTGTCTGTCTGTCTCTTGCCTCTGAAAACTAAATTCTAAATGTAAAGGGGGCGGAAAAGCCACTATGGGTTCAGCTACTCATTCTTCTTTTTAAAAGTTTGAGAGCTGTAGAAAAGCTGAGACAAAGTGGCTGTGTATCTGACCGCAGTGGCGGCCAGGCTAGAACCGCAGTGGCGTCCAGGACCGCCGTGCCAGTCAGGCTGGGACCGCCCTTGAAGTGGTGGATATGGTGATGGCAGCTGGTGACTGCAGTCATTGAAACAGCTTTGTGTATGTTGGTCAGACATGCCACGTGAATGGGTTTGTGGTGGCTAGAAACTGGGAGAAAGGGACGTTTTCTCTGCCACTTTTGAACTAAGTGTTTTGTTATTGTTGTTGTTTGTACCTTAAATAAAATCCCAGAAAGTTGACCTTTCCTCCAGAAGTTACTCTGCAGCTTTCTTTGGAGACTTTTAGTCACTGGGGCTCATAAACATGCTTTGGATGATGCAAATGCTGGGAAAAGCCAGGCACACTGAACTATTTACAATATAGTTCTTTTTATTTATTTATTATGTATACAATATTCTGTCTGTGTGTATGTCTGCAGGCCAGAAGAGGGCACCAGACCTCATTGCAGATGGTTGTGAGCCACCATGTGGTTGCTGGGAATTGAACTCAGGACCTTTGGAAGAGCAGGCAATGGTCTTAACCACTGAGCCATCTCTCCAGCCCCCCTTATTTTTTTATTGTAGTTGATACTACTATTATTTGAGACAGTCTCATGTGGTACAGGCTGTCCTGGAGCCCGTTATGTAGCTTAGGTTGACCTTGGGTTCCTGATCCCCTGCTTTCACCTCTGAAGCGCAGGTATGATAGGCATGTGCCACTGTATCCAGCTTATAGTCTTTTAAAAAATTAATTTTTTTTTTGAGAAAGGGTTAGTCTTTTTTTTAAATTAAATTTATTCTGCATATAGTGCGTGTATGTGTGCGTGCGTGTGTGCGTGAATTGTATGTGGAGGCCCAAGGACAACTTGTAGAGTTCTTTCCTTTCACCTTTTTGTTAGTTCCAGGCACTAAATTTGGGGTAACAAGCTCATGGGGCAAGCACTTTTACCTGCTGGGCAATCTCACCGACCCTGAGCTGTTATACTGCATAAGGACAGAATTCTCTGTCTTGGAATATTTACACCTTTGTTTATCTAAGCAAGTCTCAGTGGGTTGGGATGTGGATGGGTGGCAGAGTGGCTGCTGGCCTGAGCGGATTCCAGCCTTGATGAGTGGTCCTGTGGTCCTAGCTGTTAGAGATGAGGTGTTAATTTGGGGCTATCAGCATCTGCTGTGGAGCCTTTGAAGGGAAGGCATGCTGGAATAACATGCTGTTTTCTTTCACAGAAGGCCATGGCGGAGACCTTCTACCTTTCTAACATTGTGCCTCAGGATTTCGATAACAATTCTGGCTACTGGAATAGGTAGGTGTGGGTGAGCGTGGTGTGATGAGACTGTTGGGGCATGTGTGCGCTGTCTCTCGCTTTCCAGACGCTCTCCTGGCTGTGTGGGAGCACAGGCTTCAAAAGATAGCCTGCCTCTTTGGTTGTTCACTTCTGTTCAAGTCAGGTTTTGAGAGAAATGACTCAAAGTGACATTCCTGATAGTAGTGAGCCACGTGTCCAGGAAAGGCACTTGGTTTAAGTTTCTAAGCTTTTTGGGGGAGGCACTGTCAATTGCCAAGGCTGGCCACCTGCTTGGGCTTCTCCTTCCTCAGCCTTGAAAGTCCTGGGGTGGCAAGGGTGAACCAGCACACTGCCTGTTTCTGAACTTTGCGAGAGAAAGGTTTGGTGTGGTGCAGTTCAGCACAGCCGTTAACCATTTTAGTGGTAGAAACCAGAACATCTGAGCCTTCTGCTTTCTTTTAACATTGTTACGTCTGTCCTGTGGTCTCAGCAGGCATTGAGACTAACACTGGTTGAGGTTGTTTCAGGCAGGTGTGTTTTTCTTGTATTTTATGGTTCGGAATAAGGCTAGAAGTGTAGTTCATCGATGGACTACTTGCTTCAAATGGGCAGGGGCCATGGCTTTCATCCTTAGCACCAAAGGACCAAAACCAAACAAAGAAAAGAAAGAAAATAAAGCTGGGGAGATGGCTCAGCACTTAGAGTATGCTTGCTCGTCTAGAGGGTCTGAGTTCAGTGTCCAGCATCAGCGTGATGGCCCCAGCTTCCTGGGACACTAGTTCCCTGAAACCCAGTGTCCTCTTCCGGTTCTCACATGTACACTTACATACATGCAGGTAACACACACATAAAAAGATAAATAAATTTTAAAAAATAAGCATTAAGAAAATGCCCTATACTTAAAAACCCAGGGGCCAGAGAGGTAGCTCAGTGGTTAAGAGCCAGCGTTGCTCTTGCAGAGGACAGGAGTTTGGTTCTCAAAGCTTCGTACCAGCTAGCCCACAGCTGCCTGTGATTCCAGCTCCAGGGCTTCTAACACCTCTGCCGGGCTCTGTGGCACCTGCACTCATGTGCTTGTATGCAAACACAGACTCAGAAAAACCATGAGAGGAGTCTGAAAGACCAGTAGTTTCCAGTCAGCGCACATCTGCTGCATCTGTGTATCCTAACCCCTACCACCTGCTCAGATTATAATATATGCCATCATACATTATATTTTTAGGAGAAAAGATTTGGTTTAAAATGTAACCCACAATTGCACTTAAAAATGTGCAGTATCTCTGGTACCCGCTTGACGGTGCTTGTTCCCCCGAGTGTTTGCTGCTGTTGAGTTGTCCAGCTGAGATTCAGAGTCACTCCCCTGTGAAGCTCTTCCTTCCAGCTTGTTGAAGCTCTGGGATGTTCTCCCCTTCCCATGTTGTGTTGCTGATTGCACACCTGTGGGGTCCTTTACATTTCTTTTCCCTGGGGAGATCTTTGTAGAGAGGAGAGCTTCACCTTGTAGCTGGGCATTTGCCCTGTGAAAGAAACGGAGAGGAATGGTGGCAAGAGCTGCCGTCTCCTTTAGATCCTGGCCAAGTGCATTATAAAAAGTGGTGTTGCACTCCTTCAATCCCAGCACTCAGAGGCAGAGGCAGCCTGGTCTACAGAGCTAGTTCCAGGACAGCTAGGGCTGTTACTCAGCAAAGCCCTGTCTCAAAAATCAAAAAACAAAACAAAAAGCGCTTATCACTACCATGTTGATTGTGTTGTGAACCTGTCTCTGTCCCTAGCACTGTGCTGTGTAGATGGCTTCCACTGGGGCGCCAGAACCTAACAGTTCCTGTGGTAAGCTAGGTAAAGGAATCTGTTTCTAGTCTCTTTAGTGTTTTAGGATACATTCTGGTGACAAGTGCCACTAGACTGACCATTTGGCTCCATCAGTCTTTGAGGATCAATTTTCTAGAAACAGCCATGGTTTAGGGAATTGCGGTTAAGCTTTTGACTTTTCCAGGTAATGCTGGAGACAGTCTGAGCGTCTCCATGTAAGTCTGACCTTCAGCTTCAGATGAGATAAGCCTGCATAGCTGCAGTCTTGATTCGGTGTAGGCAAGGCTAGTCTCTAACCTGTACAGATCCTCCTGCCTCTGCCTCCTGGGTACTGGATTAAAGGTGTACAACATCAAGCCTGATTTGATATATTTTTTTTAATAGTTTGAAGTTCAAAAGACTGCTTTAAATTTTTTTTTTTCAAAACAGGGTTTCTCTGTGTAGCTCTGGCTATCCTGGAACTTGCTTTGTAGACCAGGCTGGTCTCGAACTCAGAGATCTGCCTGCCTCTGCTTCCCGAGTGCTGGGTTTAAAGATGTGTACCACTACCTCCTGGCTTTAAAATTTTTTTTTAGACAGAGTCTCACAGTATAGAACCAGCCTGTCTGGAACTCTTTGTAGACCAGATTAACCTTGAACTCATAAGAGATCCAATTGCTTCTGCCTCCTTGGTGCTGGGACTAAAGGTGTGTGCCACTATAGGTATCCCTAAGTTAATTTCTTAAATGAGATAGATTCTTGGTGTCTTTCCTAGGGACTGGGTGACTTGTTGCTTTCTTTCTTTTTCTTTTTCTTTTTTTTTAATCTATTTATAGTGTTCTGAGCACCAGATCTCATTACAGATGGGTGGGAGTTATCATGTGGTTGCTGGAGATTGAACTCAGGACCTCCGGAACAGCAGTCAGTTCTCTTAACCTCTGAGCCATTTCTCCAGCCCAGACTTGTTGCTTTCTTACATGTAGGCCTGTAAACATATAACATGTTTTGATGGTTTTTCAGGATAGAAATGTATTGTCGTGAACTGACGGAGAGATTTGAAGATGTTTGGATAGTATCGGGACCTTTGACCTTACCTCATACTAGTGATGGGAAGAAAACAGTTAGTTACCAGGTAGGTAGGGACTTGTAACATTCGTGCTTATGTTGTTCCATGGACTCGTAATCTCATTCGATGCTCTGCTTTTTAATTTCATTTGTTCAGCTTTATTTAGAGTTTCTTTTTTTAATGTTGAAGACATAGGACACTTGTAGACTGCAGGAAGCCGACCAAGTGTGTGAGAAGTTCTAATGACATAGAGACACGAGAGACCGCAGCTGCTGCTGTGGGCATCTTACAGCAGTGCAGTAGCAGGGCTGAGTGTTCTGCCGACACCGTGTGCCTGAGCTCTTCATGCACTGCGCCAGGAGGATGGGTGTGTGGTCTGCATGTGTCTGATTGCGGCCTAGACCAGATGTGCCGTGCGGTTTCAGCACCGAACACTTTCACGTAGGTTCCGGGACAGCCTGCTTTACTCTCCTTAAAGTTACGCTGGGGACTTCTTTTGGTCATTATGCCCAGTCATTCTTATTGGTGAGAAGGAAGGCAGAAAAATTAATTCTTTAAGACTAATCCGTGCAGGGTGGCGATGGTACACGCCTTTAATCCCAGCACTTGGGAGGCAGAGATAGGCTGGCTCCAAAGCTACTGAGAAACCACAAAAAGAAAGACTAATTCGTTTCAGTTTTCTCTTCTGACCAAATTGCTAATTTAATTTTAGTATTTATTTATTTTTATTGCTGTTTTTTTTTTTTTTTTTTTTTTTTTTTAGATAGGGTCTCTCTAGCTTTGGAGCCCATCCTGGAACTAGCTCTTGTAGACCAGGCGGCTACAATAGTCATAGAATTTGCCAGGCAGTGGTGTTGCACACCTTTAATCCAAGCACTCAGGAGGAAGAAGCCGGTGGATCGCTGAGTTTGAGGTCAGCCTGGTCAACAGAGTGAGTTCCAGCACAGCCAGGGCTACACAGAGAAACTGTCTTAAAAAAAAAAAAATCTTAGAACCAAAATGTTTAGAACTGCCTTTTATTTTTGTTTTTGATATAATTATACTTGTCTTTGCCTAGATCCTCTGACTCTCACCACCAAAAAGTTTGGTGACTGTAAACCTGAAATTAAGTTACAGTTTTATTTAGGTTTTGATTTATGAAATTGAGAGATTTATATAAATAGCTTGCTGTGTAATAAAATTTTTACTCAATATAAAAGGAAAATTAACTTTTAATCAGTGTCTGATGTAGTTTTTGACATTTTTTATTATTTAAAACAATTTTTTAAATTTAAATATATTTGGATCATAGTCTTTCTCTCCCCCAAGTTCTTCTAGATCATCTCCCCCTCTCTATCCACCCAACTTTAAGTTCGTTCTCAAACAAACAAAAACCTAATACAACAACCCTCCTTTTCCCAAACCAAGACAGTACCCAAGAAGATAAAAAAGCAAATGGAACCCATAAATATGCATATACAGTGGCATAGTGTTTCTGTGACCTGTGTTGTTCAGATGCAGTAGTGAGCAGTCAATGTTTTATGTTTTGCTCTTACTGAGTATGACTTTCTAGATTACAGCTTATAACAACGTGCGTCCTACTTTGTGCCGAGCTGGCTTAGAAGCAGTGATGGAGGCTTTAGCCACAGGCAGATCTGGCTTTCTAAGAGTCACCTCTTGGTAAATGGCCCCAGCACTTTGGCGAAGCGGCTGGTTCCCTCAGAGTCTGCGTAGGATAAAGTACAAAAATGGAACATCTCGTCCCCAGCCAAGGAAGTGCTCAGGAAAACGGGCATATCGGGAGGACAGGAATGAGCTGGAAGGAGCGCCTGCTTACCATATCTGACTGAATAGGAAAGCCAAGAGGAGTGTAACCCTCTGGGGTTAGGTCAGAATACCACAGGCAGTAAACACACAGATTACAGGGGACATTCCTGACTGGTGTCAGCCAGGGAATTGGCCGGAGTGCGGCCGTCACAGCAACCAGTGATTGAAGCGGAAATCATCTGTGGATGCCAGAGCGTGGGCAGCAGTTCTGTGAGGAACACTTCCCGTCCCCTAGTCACTCAGTGGTCAAAAGGTGAGAAGTGTTAACTTTACCTTCCTAACCCAAGGATCATGGCTAGCATCTCTAGCAGAGGGACTTAGAGAAGTTGGCACTTCTGGGTGACATTTGGAGAAGATAGGTTTCTGCAAAAATGCATGGCATTCAGTCCCATTGTGTGGATATAGTGGGTGGAGCCCAGGGGAGGACATTCTAAAACACACTGTGCTCATCACAGAGAGGAACCATGTCATAGTTGGGGAACCGTCCGCTGATGTGAAAACAAATCCTATAGTGTGGTCTTAGAGACAGAAAACAAGGCTACCGAGGAGTATTTGGGGACAGCTGGCTACGTTTGAGGTTTGGAGACTGGTTGGTTCTCAATTTCCTGGTTTTGGTCATTGGTCTGTGACTGTGTGAGTGAATGTCTCTGTAAGACAGAATGTCCTGTGGATCAAGCAGTGGGTCTGTGACTTAGTTTAAATAAATTTAGGGACAACAGACAAGAGAATGATAAAGAAATCAAGGAACTTGTTAACAGTTGGTGGGCATAGGTGGACAGTGGATGGAGCTCTTAGAGCATTTGCAAAGTCTGTGTGAAATTCAGAATTGAAAACACGGGAGGATGCTGCTGTGCCTCTGGTTACACGGGAGTGTGTGTGCCGTCAGTGACTGGTTACACTGGAGTGCGTGCACCGTTAGTGACTGTGGTTACACTGGAGTGCGTGCGCCGTCAGTGACTGTGGTTACACTGGAGTGTGGCTGTTTGTTTATCAGTGGATGACTTTCAGGGTGGTCAGTCACCTGAAAAGTTTCTAGAGACTCCTCTCCGCCCAGGGATCAGATTCGTGAGGTCAGTCAGGGTCAGCTTCCTGAAGGGTGGATTTTGAGTGATGGTCTTGGTTTTTGTTTTTATCTTAAAGCTTTATTTGTCTTAGATCCTTCTCTGGGCTTCTGAGCTTGTATCATTCCCTGTTTCTATTAGTTTATAGGGCCTACTGATCTTTTGTTTGTTTGAGACAGGGTTTCTCTGTGCAGCCCTGGCATTCCTGGAACTCACTCTGTAGACCAGGCTGGCCTTGAATTTAGAGACCTGGGAACTTCTGCCTCCAGTGCTGGGATTAAAGGCCTGCTCCACTGCTGCCTCCAGTGCTGGGATTAAAGGCCTGCTCCACTGCTGCCTCCAGTGCTGGGATTAAAGGCCTGCTCCACTGCTGCCTCCAGTGCTGGGATTAAAGGCCTGCTCCACTGTTGAAATAGGAGCGGTGGGGCTGCGTCCCCAACACCCTGGCCGCTTGGCTAGCTCATGCCCGAAATAACAACACACAAACTGTATTCATTTAAAGAACTGCTTGGCCCATGAACTCTAGCCCTTACAGGCTAATTCTCGCACCTGGACTAGCCCATTTCTAATGATGTGTGTAAGCACCCCAAGGTGCGCTTACCGGGAAGATTCTAGCCTATGTCCATTCTGGGTTGGAGTTGCCTGGGAGAGCTGAGCATGGCGTCTCTGCTCCAGAGAGCAGAGCTGTCGGGTCCCTCTGGAAGCAGAGCAGAGTCTGACCTCACTTCCTCTTCCGCCCAGAATTCTATTCTGTTTACTCCTCCTATCTATGTTCTAAGCTATGAGGCCAAGCAGTTGGTTTATTATAATTAACCAGTTACCTTCCTCCATCACTCCACTGCTGCCTCCAGTGCTGGGATTAAAGGCCTGCTCCACTGCTGCCTGGAGGAATGCACATTCTTACCTCAGCTTCAGCACTTTGTGGCTGTTGGTGGTATTGGTGGAGGCTGCTGTTCATTTGTTCCCAGCTGCCCAGACCCAAAATAATCACTTAGAAACTATATTATTTGCAATACTGTTTGGCCAATAGCTTAAGCATCTTTCTAGCTAGCTCTTATATCTCAAATTAACCCATTTCTATTAATCTGTGTATCAGCCTGTGGCTGTGTCTTACCGGCAAAGTCCCGGCCTCTGTCTCCTCCAGCAGCTACATGGCTTCTCATTGACTCTGCCTACTCTTTCTCTACATCTGTCTGCTTGGAATTGCTGCCTTGCCCTATTCTGCTAAGCCTCTGGCTGAGACAACTTTATTCATTAATAATAAAAGCAACGTTTACACTGAAGGACTTCCCACACCACTGGCGTTTCTCCTTTTGCATTCCTGTCTAGCCCTGTTGTTCGGGTCTGATGAAAATATAAAACCAGCGTTTACAGCATTGCATGTGTGTGTGAGTCATGTGTTTGGATCTATAGGAGGTAGGTATAATTCTGTGCCATTTTGTGCCCCCTGAAGACAGACGACAGAAACAGAATGGGAGGTGAGGGAGCCACAGCTGCTGCTTCTAAGAATGTGTGACGCACTTTCGTTTGCTGTTTCAGATGGTTCAGGTCATTTAATGTCATACTCTTTAAAAAGGGAAATCAGCTTTTTAAGATATTATTCTTGGACCCCTTTAACTTTCTGTTCCTTCCCCAGCTTCCTCCTCCTCTTCCTTTCATTCAGTGTGTTTATTTATTGCTTTACCTTTAAAGACAGTTTTGCTGTGTTGCCCAGGCTGTTCTGGAATTGCTGGGGTCAAGCAATCCTGCGTAAGCCTCCCAGGCAGGTGGGACTACAGGTACACACCACGTACCTAAGCTATTCCACGTCTTTTTAAGCTTCCAGTGTATACCTGGGACAGCTCTCATGCTTCTCATCCAGAGTGAAAAGGCAAACAAGGGCCTTAAAGAACAAGTGGTAAAGGATGGTGGAGGAGGAGAGAAAGTAGGGTTGGTCACTTGTGAGTAACACCTGTGCAGAAACCCTAATTACAGTGAGAGAGAAGCCGAGCTTGGCGGTCAGGGAAGGCACTCTGGGCAGTGTGACAGCAGCTGTGGGCCAGGGAAGATGGGAAGAAGCCTGGACTGTGAATGCAGGATGCGCCTGCAGGGTTTCCATCAGGAGAGTGGTGTAATCTGGTTTACATTCGCAAAACCTAGTTTGACTGGCTGTTTGTGAGAAGAACAAGTGGGAATAGGAGTTGACAGTTGAGTGAGGGG